AAATATAATTCTGGTAATCCTCTAGCTTCTTCTTCCGGCGAAACCTATAATAGAATATTTTTTGAACAATGCATAAAAGTAAGATTTAATGATCATAATTTAAGAAAGTTTAGGAATTAGACTTTACCTGTATATATTGCGAAACATGCTTAAAATGAGGTGATTCTCTTAGTCGCGTAATACGATTCACGAATTGATCAGCGCCAATACGATTGAGTAAAATTGGTTGAAGAGTTGTTCTAAATATTTGATATGGTAATTAGTATCAAATTGATCAATAAAAATAACGTATAGAAATTTTATATGAACATCCCAACCTTGTGACTGGAGAATCCAATGAATGGTTAAACTCATAACAAATACCTAGCAAAAACGCGCATAAGCCTTGTACTCTTGAATCCACACCAGAAGATTGAGTTATAGGCCCAATTAGCTAATAATAATAAATGATGGATTAAGGACTTTTTTCGATTATCTAAGAAGATATATTGTCATCAATATTGCCAGAATTAATATGAATAAAAAAAGATACAATTTGCAAATGAGCATCTTTCGATAGAAACTCTTTAACACTTTGTGGACTATCCCACAACCAAATGCAAAGAACGCATAGGTATCCAATCAAGACCCTTACGTCCGCATTTTGTCTTGTTGCCAATATTAAATTTCCTACAATAGAATGCAGCAAAGGAATGTGGTCATCTACATTATCTTCACCGATCATAATTCCTCGAGCTAATTCTTTAGACTTTTCATTGTTTATTAAAATATGTGAGAAAATAACGGACGAGAACCATACTACATATGGATCTGCCTCCGAATCTTCCCATTCCAAAAGAGCTGAGAGTAACAGTGAACCAGCTGACTGAGGTTTAGCTATAAATCGAATAATTTAAAAGCGTGAAGGTTGAATTAATGATTTGTTTTTTTTTTAGTGCTTTCGGTCAAATTCTAAATTTATGTATATTTCAACCTGTGTTCATATTTGAATTAGGATTATCATCAGGAGGAGGAGTCAATGTAGATGCCAATGCAACTTGTGCATTGGGATTATTATATGTATAACACTGGTATTTCGGATAAGCAAAATTTGAGTACTTGTGAATATTGCATTAATAAATAAACTTAAAAAATATTTTAATTGTTACCTCAAAAGCATATGTAGCTGCAGCTCGAGTTGTATAACTTTCTATATGCTCAGCCCCAACGGCGACGGCAATAATTGCCATAACCGTGGGACGTGGAGGAAGAGTTGGAATTTGCTCGTGTGAAGATCGGTTATGTGAGTCAGGTGTTGAATTTTGTGTGGAATTCGAACGTTGAGGTGAATACGGAACTGTGACAACTGTTCGTGCCAAAAATTCTTGATTGGAACTATTTCCACGTATAAGATCTGCCAAAGCGTATAGAGACTATTGAATATTGGTTATTGGACTGATTAATGAGCCTGCTAATATGGCTCAGATTTAATGTTTAAACGAGAAGAAATATAAAACATGATGATAACGTACATGGGCTTTTACTGATGAAGGTGCATTCGAAGATAAGGCTAGTTCAACTACCGTTTTCAATACCCCACATTGAGCCATAACATTCTGAAATTGACAGATATTTACAATCGATAATAAAAATATTATGAAATAATCTTACAATAAATACCTGATTATTTAGAGTATTAATATTATTAGGTACTACTAATATTCGAATCAATTCTAATAAAGCAGTAGTATTGGTAACTTTTTGTTCCTGCCATTCTTGAACCAAAAACTCAATTTCATAATTTTTGTTTTTATTATCTAGAGAGGAGCCTAATAATGCTGGTATACGTTGTATGCAACTTGTTTCACGAAAAAAATTCTGTACAAAATTAAGAACTAAGTAATCGTCTATAGTAGCCATTAAATAAAAGATTACGCAACATACCTGATTTGAAACATTATACCTTAACAAGTTATGTATTAGTTGCATACAATCTTGGACAATGATTCCGCCACTTAAACCATCTTCTTCTGCAATTATTTCTAAAAGCCTCTCAAATGCGTTCTCAAATGCAACAATTTTTTGAATATCAGCATTATTCTCGGTAAGGGCAATGAGTAAAAGTAAATTTTCTAAGATTCAAAGTTTTAATTTTTTTTAATTTCATAATTGTAATTATTTTGAAAAAAAAAAAATTTAGCTACCATTTCTGATAATTTCTCTTCTATCATCTAACAGATCCATCAAGCGCGAAATACCCATTGGTGCAGTTAATATACAATCTTGCACACGGTCTGGTCTAATAGAAAGCAAAGTTCCCAATAACTGAATATTGTGAAAACGAACATAAAAATCATATTCTTGCAAAATATCCAAGAGTAAATTTATATTAGCAGAATCCTATTAACATAATAATAACAATAATAATAATTTAATAATAAGAATTTTAATTTATGTCAGAATTTTTGGTTCATAGAGAATAACAACTTACATGCACAATTTCGTCCGTGAATCTAACGCCCAGATCAACAGTAGGATCCTAAATTCAAAATAATTATCATTAAGATTAATAAACTTTGCCTTTTTTTAAAATATATATATATATATTTGCAACACCTGTTGTTCGTTCGGAGTGCATAAAATATTTAAAATTTCAAGAATCGCCTTTGTCGTGTCTATATCGGCTCGATCCTCGTTTAGGATATGTAAAAGAGCACCGAGGCCTTTTTCGCCCACTTCCTATTAGAATTACAGTGGCAATTAAAGAATTTAATAATTAGCTGTGAAATTTATAAGAATATTCGAACCTACAAGTCGATATTCCCGCGAAAGTCCTTTCAAGCCCAGAATAGCAGCACGTCGGTCTTCTAGTAATGTAGAATTGCTTGCGCGATCACATAATTTTGAAATTGTAATCTCAACGGATTGAGGTTGTCCTTTTTCACCCAATAATCCTTTATATCCTCTGCTAAAAAATTCCATTTTTTTTTGAGCAAATAAAACGAGAACGAGAAGAATACGAATGCTAATATAAATTAGCAACCTTTATGTACTGTACTATCCACACGTATGTACAAATCTGATTAGCTTAATTTCCGATTAGATTTTTCCAGATGCATACGATTGGTCGGACAAAACACGTTAGTTTTTTTGGCAGCATCTCAGTGGTTCAATCTGAGTTTTCACAATGCTAATATAGTTTAGTTCAAAGATCGACTAAATATAAAGATGGCATATCGCTTCCATATTCCTCCTATATAATATGTTAAATTAATTATTATTGAGGAGACGAATCCAAAATTTTAGGTTCATTAACCAAAATTGAACCTAAATTAGGTTCCTATATGACCGCAATGCCTATTATTTCCCCGGCAATGCTTGTTATTTCCCCAGTAATTCTCGTTAACTTTCCAGGTGCACTTTAAATTTTATTCAAGGTTTGAAAATAATTCTTTAGTCTGCACGGTAATTTTATTTTGGGCGAAAGTTTTTATAATCTCTTAGCGGTCGCAATGGCATTATTTAAACGAAGGTTCTAAATTCTATTAGTCACATGATATAATACAATAGATATTTATGGCGAAGGTTTCTCAGTAAATTCCAATTACTTGGATGCCAGAAGGGTCCCAGATGATTGGGGTTACCCCTTATTCTCGCCTATGCGGGAAATAAACATATAATAAATTTTTTATAATTGTAAGGCTTAATAATTAGGGCTCCAGCCCACAAAACGTCGCCGTTTTTTAGTAGTTATACAGTATCTTTAAAGCAATTTTTTGGATCCAATAAACGTTCTCATATTAAGTCATAAAGCTTTTTTGCGTTCAATTTTATTAGCTTACATTGTTTCAAAATAAAATTATTTTCAGACTACATTTAAACCAATTATGTCATCATGTGCTTACAACTTGCCTACAACCGCAATACCCTCAATCTCAACTTTGACGTCTTTTGGTAATCGAGCGACTTCTACAGTTGCGCGAGCCGGTTTATGATCCCCGAAGTGCTAATCGTGAAATAAGCATGTAAATTGAGAGAGCTCATAAATTATTTATATATATAAAACGTAAATTTAAATAATTTACTTCAGCATAAACTTCGTTAACAGCACTAAAATCATTCATGTTTTTAATGAACACGGTGGTTTTAACCACTTGAGAAAGTGAAGAATTAGCTTCTTGCAATACATTTGAAAGATTTTTGATTACTTGTCGCTGCAATAAAACAAATATTTAAGAATATGTGTATAAGGATTTTGTATTCAACCAATAAGTTTTTTTTTTCAGTGTACCGTTTGTTCTTTAACATCATCGCTAACGATTTGATTTGTCTCAGGCACGATAGGGATTTGACCAGATGCAAACACAAAACCATTTGCAACTATGGCTTGAGCTGTTTTTTTTTTTTTTTTTTTTACCAATTAAAAAAAATTTTTTTATGGTCTAATGAATATGACAACATCGTTAAGACGAGACAAAACTCACAATAAGGGCCAATCGCACTAGGCGCGTTTGAAGTCGAAATAGATTTGAGGGTACTCATTGATCGATAAGGCTTAAAATAGGATAACGATAAAAGGCGAAGACGAGAAAGCCACATCCCTGGGTCGACAATAATAAAAAGCCTATTTAAAAGTCATTTGTGATACGATCCTGCAATCTTCAGATTTTCATATGCAATTTCCTTCAAAATTTTAGCATAAAACACACTCATGTGACTTAACTGCTTTTTCTAATTTACTTGTGTTTTTATTGGATAATTAACTTGTTATCTCGACTTTTTAATAATTACGATAGACCATGCGCCTATGAGAAGATTCGCCCTTCAGATCTTACATGGAAAGACCCCGAAGCTAGTATGGTTCCCAGTGATACTTCAGACATCGTAAAAAGTTTGAAGCGTAGGCAAAAAGGCACCTTTTTAGAACCTAAGGAGAATATGAAATGTGTTGTGCCAGATTCGATTGTGGGAAAATGTGACGAATTTGTAAATGATTTACTAATCCGAATGCATCGCGGGCTATGGGGAATATCTTTCATAATAAAAATTGGAAAGAAAGTGAAGCTGAACTTGTAAAAGTAACCGATCGCATTCTTAGTACACTGTATGTACTAATAATAAATCAGCATTACTAGTGTTTCTAATATTTTAATGTTCTTTTACTAGTGGCGAGATGTGGAGCAATCCCGCGTTTTCGACCCATGCATCTTGTAGTGAGCAGAGCGAGGGAACATACGTAACTGAAGTCATAATTCCTTTGCTTCGCTCAAGTTTGGGAAACCTTCCCAACGGCTGTATAGCTCTAAGTACGGCAGAACGCGAAAGTTTAGCAAGTAAAGCTCGACGTAATATAGGAAGCGTATGGGGAAGAAACCTGATGTTATGGGCTTGCTAAAGCATGATGAACAAATTTTATCTGCAGTAATTCAAAAAAAAAATGATGACGAAGTGAAACTATGGAGAGAAACTTTAGATGGGGCGAGTTCCATAGGTTTATCATGTAGACCACCCTAGTAAATCAAACATTAATTAGGGTTGCATATGAGAATCCGAATTTACTGCGGATAATATCAACTTTCGGTACACTTTTCTCTTGAACTAGTATAATAATTAATGTTTTTTTTTTTTTTTAAAGATAGAGCAAATTGTATACTTTAGTGCAATAAAGCCATTTTTTCAATTTATGCTATTTTATAAGAGTAAATTCTTTAACAATGTAAATGAGCTTTACCTAAATTTGACA